TATCATTTACTGCATCTGAGTGAGATCGAATTTTTGGTACGAGGAACTTCGATCATTCTTAGTTGATTTCTATTCTTTTCTAAATTTTTCTTTTTTCTAACTTTAAGTGCAGCCCATCTAACCATCGAGATCATGACTGTAGACTCACTTTCAATGGAGGTTGGTGCTGACGAGATCCCAAATCAAGTGGCTATAGATAAAGGTTCGGTTGGTAGCAATAGGCCTTTAGACAAGGTTGGAAGTGTTGGTCATTCGACTAGTCCAAGTGAGCCCCTCGGGAGGAAGATATACCCTGGATCACTGAGCAACCAGCTTTGTGAGATGGAAGATTCCTTTGTCAGGGCAGCAAGATTCCAGCGGGGAGAGGAGATGAGCGGGTTGTTGGCACAGATATAAAAGTTATAAAATTTGGAGGCTGAGGTGGCCACCTTTCTTGACTGGTCGACTGCTTTCCACACTGAGGCAGTTGTTCTTCACATGGAAATGGCTACACTCCATGCGGAGATAACGGTCGCGCGTGAGGTGTCCTCTATCTCTTTGGTTTAAGCTTAAATTTAAGTTAGATTTAAGTTAGGAGGAGAGCTATTGTATAAGAGAATGCTTCGGTGAGGTCATGCTCGACTGAAGCGGTGAAAAATAGTCTTGTTCTCGGCTGAAGCGGCGAAAAATAGTCTTGTAAAATATTTCCTCTCGGATTAACTATCAAGAGGTTTTTCTGTAATTATTTATTTTTGTAAAATAAAATTTATCTGTCTCATGTTGTGTGTTCGATATGACTGGTGTGGTTTCGAAGGTGGAAAATAACATCTTTGCCCCTGTGATGTTTCGACTTCACTACGTATCCTTTAAAAAGGGCTGAGAGTTTTGAAATCTCTAGCATAACTGTTCTATCCTCTCCCCTCTAGTTTCCATTTTTTTACACGCATGTGTTTAATGACACCCATGTTCTCTCAAAAATTTTTTGGTTCCATTCCCGCTATTGAAGTGTTCACACTGTCGATGGATCAAGTGGCGGATTTTGAAGAGAACCATGTTTTTGAATGGTCGATAAAACTCCAAGCAGTGACAGGAGCCAACCAGGCAACAGGCAGCTATGGCAAAGATCTTGTATTTTACAAGGACCAATTCAAGTGTGGCCTCTGACTACCACTTTGCAAGGAGCTTTGAGCGGTTTTTAGCCGGTACAAAGTGATACTTGTTTCGGTGATGTCCAACTCTTTTGCTACAATAATGACCATCATGAGCTTTTGATATTGGTGGCGATCTCTTGCCATCTTCACCATCTTTTCATTCATCGTGAGCTTTGCCATCACTGGCGATTTCTTGCCCTCTTCTCTTTCTTTTCATTCAAGGTCAATCGGGACGTATATGTTGTATTTCAGTCGGTTCACGACTCTGCTTGTTAGGCTTGGAGAACAAAATCAGGGATTGTAAGGTACGGTTCTTGGTCGGTTTATCCCGCAGCAGTTGGAGGGATACACATTCTCCCAGTAACCACCAATGTGAAGAAATTCAAGACCTTGCCAAGCAACCTTAGTCTATGGGGAAATGATCGAAGGGCAACAACTATTTATTGAACGTTACGACGCACCTGAGGTGCTAAAAAAGGTGTTATGATCAGAGAAGTACAAAAAGATAACCTGCAAGCTATGGGAAGCCTTTGACACCCGGCAGGATGAAATGAAGAGGGCGGCCGCCATCAAAGTAGCCAAGAAACAACCAAGGGCGAAGACTATCCTCCCCAAGGTTATTGTAGCTCTTACTGTCTCCTGCCCAATGAAATATAGGGTTCCTGAGTCTAGGATTATTTTGGTCGAGAAATATGTTGAAGGTGCGAAATTTATCTTTTACACATCCAACACCACTCTCGTTGTCCAGGACGTCTATTGGAAAGTTAACCCCTATTGATCGAACAATTAAACCTTCTCTGACAAGTGTTGGAATCTATAGTACTCAACAAGACAATTCTGCAAAGATGCCCAAATAATTGGCATTGAGCAAGGCAGAACAGAAGGCCTCGGCGGATAGAACCGAGGAGTGACAAGGAACACCCAGGGCAACTGGCACCTCTTACATAGATTTGAAGGTGAGGGATGAAGCAAGCCTGTCATCCCCCTTCCTCTATCTGAGTCAAAGGTCAGGCAGGAATCAGAGCTCCGGGAAGAGGATACCCCTGACAGAGAGGGGAAGGCTCCCACTAAAGATGAATAGGATCGACCTCCTCCTCCTCCTCAGATGAAGTGGAAGGGGCCCACACCAAAGTGGATCCCTTCACAGGACGAGTTCTGTCGGCAGGTTAGCCATGGTGGACACAGAGAAGGACTGCTAATCAAGTCTCCGACAGCGGTGTAGTAACCTTCAACACTGGTCGAGGTCATCTGATCATGTACTTTTAAGAAGTCATTGAAAAGTCTTGACCGTTCGGAGCTTTCCTAGTTGTCCAACCGTTATCACGTTATGGCTTTGGAGGCTGCTTGCTTTCACACCACGGTCCTCGAGCGAGTTAAAGGGAAGTGGGTTGTTCCCGTGGAGAGGGCAGAGGAAGACAAAGCTTAGGCGATGAGGACGAAAAAATGTCTGAAGGGATTCATGGCTGCTAGAGAGTTCAAAGTGGTTGAACATGAGAAAATAGTAGCGACGCTTGAGAACGAGAATAGGAATCTCAAGGCCAACATGGCGACCTGAAAACCTATGAGGAAAACATTGACGAGACATCTAAGCAACTTCAGGAAAACATTTCTTTGGCAACCGGCTGCTTTGTGAATGAGAGACTAGTCGACCAGAAGTGGGCCAATCTGAGGGAGTTTACCACGCTTCTCCCTGGACTTGCAACGAAGGAGAGAGCAACAAGGAAGAGGCCAAGAAAGATGGCTATGAGAAAAGCAACTGAGTGTCGACAACCGCCTGAGTTCTTATTTTTGTGCTTGTAAAAGAAAAAGAAGAATGTTTTTTGTTTGTTTTTTTCCTAGGCAGCAATCCAAGGATTTGTAAAAAAACTTTTGTAAACTATTTTATTGGAAGAAATAAATTTTTTGGTCGGCTTATACCATTATCCTTCATTTTACCTCTCTTTATTTTTTGCATTTTCTTTACTGCTTTATACTTTGTGATGTCTATAATGGTCGTTCGTTCATCCCTCAGAAGGGATTTTCGGTCGATTTAGGGTTTGTTCACAGCCTGGCTCAAGTCATACACTTCTCCTGTCCCGTTTCTCAATCGGATCATCACCTCGAGTGGTGATAACTGCTAAGACTTGCTTGAGGGATGATTTGCTTGATAACCTTCACACAAATTGTAGGTACTGAGCAGCAAACCATCTTCCGAGCTTTGTCTGATCGAGTTTAGAGATTGGTCTTTTGATGCTTGAACATTCAAGGTTGATTCTTTGCTTTTGAATGCCGACCAAACGTCCACATTGATCGCATCTTTTAGGATGTTGAATTCGAATAAGTCTTGTGAATCACACCCAAAGAATAGAGCGTAGAGCATGAGAGAGAGAGAGAGGGAGAAAGAAAGAGAAAAGAGAGAAAGAGAGTGCACAATAGTAAATAATAGAATGTGAATATATAACATTTTATTCATGAAATAATCCCTTTTTTATAAAGGAGGGTGTAATATGTGAAGTTATATTATCTCTCTACATGAGTAGGGATTGATTATGTTATTTTAGGTATTTCACCCTTGTGATCCCAGGGCCTTGCTGCTCTTTGGCTCGGCCAACTGGACTTTGATAGGATTTAGGCAATCCTTGATGGCCGGCTAGATCAATGTTGTCTCTGGTCGGATAGATCCAGGACTATCGGCCGACTCGATAGTTGTGGGTCAGTAGAACTGGTCCAATCGGTGTAATTCTACAAATCAGTAGGTAAGGTCTGATTGTCGACCCCCGATCTCCACCAATGAGCTTTTCTCGACAGGGTGAAGCTAGACCATCAAACAAATGGTAAACCACAGTAATCCGATGGGTTGTCTTTCATTAGACGAGAGAATCCTGATGGGATGGTTGAGACCTATTGTATTTTCTTGATGGTATTGAGGGAGACAATTGAGTGATCCTGATATTACAGAGTTCTTCTCACTTTGATTGACTTGCGTGTTATAAGGCTTGGGTGACTCTTCGCCCGTCACCTGAATGAGCTGCTCAGGCTGATAACAATTTGACAGCCCTCGTGACTTAAACGGTCTTAGGTTTGCTACATCCGATCAGATATTTGTTTCTCCAATCAAGCTTTTGGTGGGTCCTCTTGGTATTATGCCTTTTTCTCTTAGACCCTTAGATCTCCAAGAGATTCATGCTCACTTTTTTCCATGTACAAACACCTTATCCTCGCATGAAAAAGTTGTATTCCAAAAGTTAAAATGGTGGTATGTTTGGTGTGATATGAAAGATTTGGGTTTCATAAATGTAAAAGGTAAATTTTGGGTGTTAGGTATGTAAATACGTAGAATTAGGTTGTATGTATACAACAAAAAACCATCCTAAATTCCATAGATAGCCACCTCCATCTCAAAGCTTCATCACTTGGTACAAGAGCCCGGTAACACATCGATATCCCTTAATCTCATTAACAACCACAACAAAAAAATAAAAAAAATTAAAAAGAAGGGGGACGGGAACACAGAAATCAAAAGACCTGCTGCAACTCCAAATCCTCTCAAATAAAAGGTTTCTTAAATCATGCTTGATGGGATAGAAACCGTGGGCAATCTAACATAACGCCTTATGCTACAAAAAAGGCCAACGATACCCCAAACCAAAGAGATGCGTTGTCCTTCAAATGGAGTAAAAATCAGAGCATCGCCCAGATAAACAGAGATTTTCGCCACAAAATATAGCTTGTCGTCTTCTAGGTTTAAAATATATTGGTTTCCACTAACAGCTAGTTCAGGGGAAGAACATGGAACAGCCTCAATAAAGTTAGTACGCTGATAAAACTTCAGTTTAATTTTGTTACGATTACAGTTTGTAAAGCGAGGAGGAATCGGTTTGGCAAGCTTACCGGCGGGACTTGACGTAAAAGGAACTAGCAGCGCCAGACATGGCCAGAGATCTATTTGGCCTCTCACGGTAACAACGACAGTAAGGCTGAGATCAGGGAGGGTAGGGAGGAAGAAGACGGACATAGTAGCAGACAAAGGAAAGCGAAAGAAATGTTTATTTTCTTGGGATAATTACATGCGCAGCATTATACATACTGCTATTTACAAAACTGGTATGTACGGCATTATTTTGGAGAAGATATTAGGTTAGGACTGCAAATTGGACCAATCACAATGTATTATGATTGGTCCACTTTATACATAACACATTTTTATTGGACTCTGGTTCATCCAGAGATGCCCTAATATTTTCTCCATTATTTTGAGCTAACGAATCGTGCATTTAAGAAAAATCTGATGAAGTTAATTAATAAAAAAGCAATTACATACAGGCCACCAGGAACTTCTTATTTACAAATCTATTTTTTAAATTCTCACTGCTGAAATATCAAAATTCATGGTAAAACTAAAATCCATATTTTTCATTTTTATCAAATTCTCAATAGTTTGGTCATGACACGCATAAATACATCGATTCAGTAGCTCAAAAGATTTATCTGGATGGTTAATTTGTAAATATCAATATTTTAGGTGGTTCTTATGCAATTATCCCTTATATAAAATGAGTTAGAATGTTAATATTTGGGTGAGATTTGAAAAATGGTTGAAATATGGTGCAAAACTTGTAAATAGCAATGTTTCAAGTGCTTGTAAATATGTTTGAAAAAATACTTTAGACCAAAATGTACCCATTTTTAAATAAATGAAGTTGAAGCACACTCTTAATAGTCATTGATTGTAGGAGCTCTCAACCCATCTTCTTAGTTCCTTACCTATTTTCAATAATTCTATAGTATTCATATTTTTGAAGAAATTTTACGGAAACTTTTTCTTTATTTATCATTCATGAATACTAGTGATGTTATTCATTTATTATTTTGAATTTAACGTGATGTTTGTGCTATAAATCCTAAATTTTGAAACATCAAGTAAACACTAGATTAGTTGTTATGAAGTTATTATAATCATCTCTGAAGCACATTTGTCGTAAAAACATGATTAAAACACTATCAAATAATTTTCAATCACGGTTGAAGATGGTTCAATCAATTTTCGTAGGTGTTTGAACATGATTTGATCATGTTCGACGATGATTATGACAGACTAGATCAAAGGCACATGGATCTGTAGGTTTGTATTTCATCTCTAATAGATCAAAAATATGACAACACAAATACTTCCTGCTCTTCTTCTTCATTTAAAACTTACTAAATAAATATCACTTTTATATATAATTGTAAAAGATGTTGTGACATGTTGCAATGTTAAGCTTTTGTCTTGTAAGTGCAATGGCAGGAGACCATTTACGATCTCTGCCTCCTCTAGTGCCTCCCGTTTTATCTCTTGTCCACTCTACACATTATCCAAGCATCAATAACTCAAAGGAAAGGGAAGGAGTGTGGACAGTCAAAGCTTTGTGAACATTATTAAAGTGTGATTTTTTTAATGTTCTTTACATTAAGTTTAATTCATGTGCAGAGAACATTCAATGTTTTTGTTTCTTAATAAGGGAGTGTACAAGTATCAAATTGGTTTCGCATGTCAAATTTGGTCTGATGTGAATTTGACCTGACCTAAAATTGCTTTGCAAGAATTTTAAACAGGTTAGAAAGTCTAACCCAAATCCAACCTGTCTTTCAACTTGACAAACATGAACTCAGCCTGCAAACATATTAAATATATGCATAATAGCTATTGAGGTCAAATTCGGCTCATTTTTTTAGCAGGCGGGTTAATTTTGAGTTATTTTTGGACTAATAGGACAGCTTGAACTTGTAAAAAAAAAGTAAAAATGTTGATATTTTTTACCCAAACATTAATCAGGTCAATTATAATCTAAAATATTGAGTTGCTTTGAATCATTTTAGTGTGTTGGATCAATGTTTGAGAACATTGTTTGAGAACATTATGGGAGCAAATATAGTGATCACTATTAGACAAAACAATTCAATCAGCACTAGAAAGTAACTAACGATCACCACTTATATGAAGCTAAAAAAACACCTTCAGGGGGCTTGATCAGGTTACAGTGTAGATCATTGGAGAGGAAGAGAGGTTCTTGAAATCATGGATTAATATAGAATTCTTGTATAATCTAATGAATTGGAAATAAATTTATTAGATATATATGGCATCTTACTTCCTACAGTATCTCATGGCCTTCAAATCCGCAAACAACCCCCCCCCCCAACCCCCTCCCCAAC